AGATTCCTGACTGTACACCACATAGCTTGATACCTATTTAGTTTACTGTCTATGAACAGTTTATAAACAGTTTACAACTGTTTACTGTTTATTTACAGGTCCACTGTAAACATAAGCAAAACAGTTGGAGCCTTAGCAGGTTGGTTGGCTACAGTATTTACTACTCGATGATATGGAGAAAGCACCAAAACAAAAGGAATTATGAGCTCTCCACAAACACTCTTCTCCCTGGCGGGGAGTCGAACCCCGCTTTCGCGCGTCCGCATGGCAATGACAGGCGCGTGTACTAACCGATATACTACCAGGGATACGTAAAGATAAAACAAGAGCCATATAATTTTATATAATTGGATATCTTACTGTACGTTGAACTTGATTGTCACGAGTCATCGCGCTTGAAGCGAGCCAGCTCGTGCATCAGGCAAGTGAACAGTCCCCAGCGTTTTCGTACTGTACTAATGCTAGCTCTACGGCGTCTTACTAGTACAGATAGCTATCGTTTGACATCGCCCCTATTCACCTGCAGCTTCCGCGTTTATTGTGGGGCATGTCTTCGGGCTCACTTGCAGCACCCATCAAGGGCTCCTGCTTCTGCGGGACTGTTTCTTACAGCCTCGCAGGACGTCCAGTCCTGAGTGCCTACTGTCACTGCACCAACTGCCAGCGATTAACTGGTGATCGGCGTCCCTCGTCTAGTCTGCCGACTCGTCTGGGCTCACGCTCCTCGTCGCGGCAGGATGCCCGTTCGTGCTGACGATGCACTTCAAGGGGACAGACTTCACGTGGGGCCACGCCGCGCCGCACGAGGCGCAGCTCGACTTCTACACGATCCCCAGCAAGCCGCACAAGACGCGCTGCCGGTGCAAGACGTGCGGCGCGACCGTCGCGTCGTACAACTCGGATACCCAGTGCTGGAGTGTGTGGGGCGGACAGCTCAAGCGCGGCGCGGACGGTGGGGTCGACGTCTGGGACGTCGTCAAGCCTACTGCGCATCAGTTCTACGGCACCCGTCTGCTCGACGTGCCCGACGCCCTGGGAAAATGGGAAGGGTATGAGAACCGATCTGCGAGGTTAGACTGAGGTGAGGCTATCTCTGGGCCGTCGTATATCGCAAGCGGTAACGCCATTACCGCTCGCATAGATCTATGTCAATTCATGCCGTATTCTATGACCGAGTCCGACATCTCTGATAGGCCCCAGATAGCGCATTCACCAATGCAATATGATATGCACGATCATACTATCAACCCTCCTCAACATTTCCCTGGGCATTGGTACGGATTTATATTTTTGACTTGGCAGGATTTGGGGCTGCATCTCACAGATTCAAAGTCAAGTACATTAGTCAGGGTATGTTCGCTCATATCGTTGAATCCATGGCTCGATACGATATGATGGTGTGTATAGGATTTTCAAACATACAAGCATGTCAAGTCGCAGGACTCGCTCATTGGTGGTATCATCGCATGTTGCCTCGACCCCTAAAGCGCCCTCACAGGACTACGCCCTTCAAAGGGTGATAGGAATGCATCCGATATTGATGAGACCGCCCTAGATGTGGCAATTCAGCGTCATACTCTGAAGATTACAAAACAGCTGGCGTACGAATGAGTTGTTCTCGCAGCAGACGGGGTGAGCACTGCAGGCGTTGCCACTGCCGACGCCGATGACGCTGAGCGGAGAGCAGTTGAGGCCGATGAGGCCCGTGACACTCCCGAGGACAATGCCCAAAAGCCCGGCCAAGAGGTTTGCCTCGGCATCAGTTGACTACACGGCGAACAGTTTTAGGATGAGTACCGTATAGTTCGTCACCACAGGACTGGCTTACCGAGACGACGGAGTTGCAGCACGAAATTGAGCCAGTGTTGCAGTTAGAGGCCGTCACGGTAGCAGGAGGCGCTGTGGCAGTCACCGTCGCGGTGACCGTGACCGTGTTCGCCGATGTGGTGGTGACGCCCCAGGGGGTGGCGACCGCAAGGACAGAGAGGACGAACATGGTGTAGAGCAAGGTGAGCGGGGTTTGGGCTTGCATCTTGGGAGAAGGTATTTGGGAATGGAGGTGCTGAAGCTGAGTTGGCTGGAGCTACAGATTCTCCTCTGTCGCCCGCTTCTTCTTATACGTTTGCTCTCTCCCAAGGATGAACTGTTCTAATAGCAAGATGCTGTGCGTGACAGGCATTTTTTCATTGTAGAACGCGTGGACGTCCAACATTCTAGGCTGTGCATTGGCCAAGCACATATATTTCCTGGATCTAGACGGTAGCCTGCTGGAGGTAGATCTCGACGTCAAACGGCCATCACGATCCAGTGGGCGACCCAGATCTCCCAGCGTTTTCCGCAGCCGGGCTGAACGTAGGTCTTACTGCGAAGCGCCATTTTTCTCAAACGGTGTATAATTCCCGCTCGTCCTTCCTCTTCTTGACGCTCTCGATCTTGTTGACCCGCACACGGTTTCTACGTGTTTCCTCACGAAGCTCTAGATTGATTTCTGTGGGCCGCACCTGGGCTGGGTACGTCGGTCTGGAGACGTGCGGAATCATCTATGGACGAGCGGTTCACACACCGTGGATCTTTGGGGCTCGGCGCGTCGGGCTGGGATTCAATCCCACAGCCTGGACACGCACTAACATGCATGGGAGCCATCCAATCCCCGCTGGTCGGTCGAATTCCCTTCATTCCCTTCGCGAACGTATTAGGTGATCGGCGTTACCGCCGTCTCCGGGGATGGCCGCAGCCCGTCCGAGTCAGCAGCGACCGACGCCGCAGGCGCAAGAGAGCGCAGAACAAACCTCTGCATGTCACTCCGGATGCGCGAAATGGACGGGTCGCGCTCGACAGATGGTGGACATATGTGTGATGTAGGCTAAGCCCCCAACATACCATAGTCTTCCACGTCTGTCATCGGTGAAGGCATGCGGAGGAATACGAAGACGCGGCGCCGGCTCACGGGAAGCTCGACCCTGTAATATAACCCCATTACGGGCTGTGGTGTTTGAGTTCTACCTGATATTGCAGAAGTGATGCTGTCCCACTGAAGCTCCTTAACTGCACGCGGAATTGGACCACACGAGAGTGGAGCCCCACCTATTTACAGCCAGTTTTACTTGTCCCAGTCAACGTAGTCTGCCCCTGTAGAGCGAGCACAGATTTGCGCTAAGCTTCAGAGTTAAACATATTTGCGGAAAGGCTATAGCTTGTTGGAGGGCCGTTGTGGACGACGGTGCTTGTGCACCTCACGTCCGCTCTTCCGAGTCTTCTCTCTGACGCCGAATCATACGTGTCGTAACAGCTCGTGAGAGCACTCAAGATTGTGAATGGTCTGCGGAGGAGAGCATTTCTCATTGGCTGCGTCGTCTGTTAATGTGATTGGCTGCTCGCTCATGCTGTATAGAACTTGTTGGTGTAGCTGTGATGGCCTTTTCCTGAGTTGCGCCGTCGGCAACTTCGGACAACATGACCTCGAGAATGCATACAAATTCCCTCGCTAAAAGTTTAACCACATAAGGGAGCGTTGTGTAAGACGTACAGATTACCCGCATTACAGAAGAACTAGTAAGGTTTCGAGCACGAGCCAGGCAAGGCGCGGCTTGCGCGGCGAACAACAACACCTGCCTCTTTCGGCCCATTGTAGATCAGATATCGTGGCGCTTCAGCTTAGACGGCAGAAACACTTTCTTTCAACCACAACAGGCATACGAGCAAGACCTAGAATAGTCTGATTTCTGGCATTTAAACCTTTGTTTCCTCTGGTGAAGGCGCACACAAGTATGCCCGACATGGCCCGACGCTTCTTTCCTCGAACCGTGCACCGGCATCCACTTCAAATTCAGAAGAACCAGCACACCGCGATGGACGCGGATAGACATTCTGCCCCTCACACGAGGTATGTGGTAGGCTACTTAATGTGTCAGCCGCTTGTATTACTCGCTTGCCGCCGCAGCATCAGACGATTTCCCATGTCCTGTCCATCGTCCAAGGGTCGCTACTGGCGGTACACGCTTGCCACGACGACGATGACGCTCAGTTGGTTCGGTATCCGCCGGTGCTGCTCCGTCAGTCACAAAATACATCTCGTACAGCCTGGCTGCTCCGCCGTCTGTTCGCGGTCCTCCCTTGTAGAGCGCCTACCTTTAGACGCTCACGTTTGTGCATTACGATCGATTTTTGTCCTAGGTGTCAGCGGCGTTGGAGGTCATTTCAGACTGCAACCGACGGACCAAACTCTACTTCTGCTGAGGCGGACGAAACACCCGTTAGGCAGTCGCCGATAACGAGGGGCTTCCGATTCATGTGCCAGGAAACCGCGCGTACCTATCACGCCTTCCCCGCCCCCGTCCTGTATTACCTTCCCTTTCTCTCGCCGTCGCTCCCGTACGGCTCCCGCCTAGTGACTTCCCATGCAAAATGACCCATCTCTTCTGGTCTCTGATGACGCGAAGTCTGCCTCAGCTCTGGCTCGCCTGCCCGGCATCTGCAACGCTTGTCCCAACTCAAGTCTAGTGCATAGTTTCGTGCCACGCTCACGATGCCCCGCTTCCAGCCATGGGTGAGAGCGGTCTGCGAAAATTTATATTCAGTTATTGAAGCCATCCAACCCAGGTATTGCACGAAGTTTCTCAGAGTGTTCAAGTGGCAAACGGCCCTCTGACGCAGCCGTGAAAGGCTGCGTGCATTGCCTCCGAACATTGAAGTGTCGTCGACTGACCGTTAGCGCGCCAGCAGTGGCGTCGCGACCTCTTTTCTGGTGGCTCCACTAGCTCAATATTGCTGACGTGCATCGTACCCACCATAGGAACAGATCGAGAAGCGACTGACGCGCCACTGAAAGCCGACACTGGCTCCCCAGTCGCCACAACGTCAGCACCCAAAAATCGGTACGACTCTTCCAAGAGCGTTCTGCAATTTGTCCCGGTCCTGACGTGCCCACTAGCACGTTGTGGCTCAAAAGTGTGCCGCGGGCGTGCCGCACTCCAGCAGCTCAGTGCACGAAAAAGTGAATGTGGGTGCCCGTCGTCGGTGTCCGCGGACTCACCGCGCTGCAGCAGCCCCATGACACCCGGTCGGACTGACTGGTGGTGACACCCGTGGGACCACGCTTTCTTGGGTGGCAGCCTTGGCGATCTACGCCGTACATCTCCCAGCGTCCACCGGGTGGAATCTAGGTGCGATCAGGACGGCCGAGTAGGGACGGCAGAACTACGCTGTGGCGGGCCCTTAGTGTGTTGCATTCTGACCTTCAAGGTACGTTATCGAAATAATCCGCATCCAGTGATTTACGTAGGATATCGTAGAACTCAAACTACTTACCACCAGTCATATGCGGATGTAGAGTCATACTACCGCACAACTTAGACTCGACCCAAGCACGCCTCCTGATGACCATCCTACAAATTACATTCGGCCTGCAAAAGGTTTCGTTGCTGGTACAAGATGCACACTTTATACAAATCCTAGGATACGAAAATGGCTAGGTGGCTACTGTATTCCTCCGGCGGTCTACAAGTACAGCCTCACACTCGTCTCAGCTGACGCGTCCGCCAGGATATGACACTCCATACCCCTCGCCCAGCTGCCCTCGGGCCTTGTTAGCCCATTCTTCCCGCTCTTCAACCAAGGCTAGCTGCTGAAGTCTCTAGCTGACACGATGTTGGAGATATTCTACAACGCGTGAAGTTCCTCCCTTTACAAATCTGGGAGCCCGTTTCAATTTGCCGCATTCAAGCAGCACCTTTCTGCTACAAACCGTTCTCCTTGGTGTCTACCAACCAATACCACGTCGTCCGTGTCTGATCGCGCGAAACCTTTGCCATGCCGATGCCATCTCCGGTCTAGTGCAGGTCTAGCAGGCTCGCCAGACTCATCTGCCATGCTACGAAGACTCGACATACTCGCGCACAGCCCTTCTGTCCCAAGCTCTCGCACAAGCCGCACTCGACACGCCGTTCTCGACGTCGCGCCGCACGACATTTAGGTCGTCGGTTATCGCGGCGCGGGTGTGACAAGTGTCTCGGTAGGCACATGCATCCGAGGCTGCCCGCGTCGGAGCAAGCAGGTCTCGCAGTTCCGCTCCCCGCGTTCTCACCTCTGCCTGTTCCATAGAACGTCAACTCGATGGTTGCTCGACGATGGGGCCCTTTCAAATCCTCGTCCGGTCGGCAAGTGCTTGCGATTTCATATCGCACAGCAGAAGTAGCGACAGACTGTGTCCTGCGTCGTGAAGAATCGACGGCAGGTGGTCTCGGATATCGCGCCCGGCCTCTAGCCGACCGACTCTTCGTCTGCCTACGGTGAGTGGCTGCTCTCAGCCGCGAGAGCGAGAAGTTGAGCGGCTATGTCTCGGGTAGACCACAGCCGAGATGGTGCAGGCCACTCAGGAGTCGCGCTGAAGGTATATAACCCCAGCTGCGCCTCGCAGTCGACCCAAGCCACTGCACGCCTCCAGAGGCCTCAGCACGATACCCCCTCGGCACAGAAGCCTGCGATACCCCTTCTGCGCACGCCCCGGGATGCCGCTCGCGACACCCGCCCCGCCACTCGTTTAGCATGGGCCCTCCGCCGCCCGTCCGCTCTCTGCGCCAACTCGGCATCCACAGACGTCGCTGCCACACTCGTTTTACGCCCCGCCGCCGCCCGCGCGCGCGCGTCTCCAGCCGCGCTGCAGAAAACACGTACGTCACGCTGAAACCCGCTCTTTGCCTGGCTCACACGACCCCAGACTCCCGCAGGCACGCCGGCTCGCTGCCCCCCGCCGCGCGCGCGCTGACAGCGGGCACGCACCGGCCGGCTACGGACGCGCGCTCTGATGTGTCCCTTCATACCCACTGCATACCCCACGCTCGTTCTGCACACCCTGTATTGCTTCCCAACGTCTTCACGAGTAGACCACACACGCTTTGTTCTTATGCCTTTACGACGAGACACGACGTACTAGCGACGACCCCGCCCTGTATGTACTACTATGCTATACCCGCCGTTCCTTCCGAGAAATCAAATTCGCGTCA